TTTTTAAATTCACTACTGGAAAATGTTTCGAAAAACATTTCATGTCAGGATTAACCAGAACAAATTTTTTTACATTCATTGGCACTGAATGAGTTAAAATTATTCTTCTTGCAGGGTCGACTTGTCAACTTGAGTTGTTCCTCTGTACCATCATTTGTGGTTTCTATTACAGCTACAACACAGGTAGGTTCTGTCTTTGAAACTTTGTTTTATACTTATGTCTGCTTTGTTAAGCTTCATTTATGTCTATTTAAAAACTATTCCAGCGGTACAATCACTAATTAAGGAAAAGTAACCGAGAAATATACAGGCAGAAATATACACAATCAGACAGAGATTTTAGATAGGCAAAGAGACAGGCACTGCGGCAAAAAGAAGGAAAGCAAGAGAGGCACATTGACATCATTTGAGAAAGGAATTTAAAAAAATAAAAGAAAAGGCAACGTGAAAGTAAGAGAAAAATAAAGCAAGGGGATACATATTTGACATCTTTTAAGAAAAGGAAGAGGGCTGCGAGGTCTCAAGGCATGGTGTCCGCCTTGAGTGCTGGGATTTTTTCACGTGGACTTCTAGTAATTCCTCCTGGTCTCTGGGTAGTGAGATCGGATGCCGGTGTGCATTGATGTGCACGTAAAAAATTCCTTTGCAGTTGGAAATCAAAAAGAGTAGCCTAACAGCACTGCCCAGGCAAAATTTGGAGTTAAAAAATCTACCCAAAGTATTTCAGGATCCTCGCCGGTGCTACAGAGTCTTGTACACTGTGCTGAGTTTCTTCGGACTCGGACTTGAGTTAGAAGAAGAACGGAGCACTTATGGGTTTCTACCCGTGTGCTATGATGTTGATCCGTTGTTCAAACTTCAAATCTTGAGAAAAATAATAAGAAGAAAGAGATACATTAACATCTTGGAAGGGAAAAAAATGAAACGAGACACCAGATCTCTGGACAAAAGGAAAATAAAAAACAAAGGATCATCTGACAGATACATGTATCTGAATAATTTTACAAAAACTGATGCTGAATATTTTTTAATGGTAACACTGTTTATGATGCAGATTACCTTATGTTGGTATTTGTGTTTGTGATGTAGATTATTTTCTGTTGGTACTATTGTTTGTTGTGTGTACAGGATCATCAAGAATGCTTGTTTTATTCTGCTTTTTCACCCCAGTTTCGGAGGGAGTTTCCTGAAGGGTCCTCTAGTATCAGGAGGTTAGGGCTAGATTAAGAGTTAGTTGATGTTTATTTAACTGTAACCCTACAACACTAAAACTGCTTTATTCTAGACCTGTCATGTATTATTTTGACAGGGTTCATTGTTTATTTCATCATCCTTTCCATTATGTGTTTCTCGCGTTTGTTTGTCACTTTCACTTTGCCCTGTTTGCAAGCGGTGTTTTTACATTTGACCTGTCAGCATTCCTGCATCTAACCCTAACCTTAACCCTAACCATTGAGTAGTCATACATAGAGACTGTCACTCCTTTAGGACCCTTCCCGACCGACACCCCAGTCTGGCCCTTTTCGGGGCCCACCACTTATAATATCCTCAGTTGACACCCCACTGCCCAACTCTGCCCATGAGAAACACCCTTTCAAGCCAAACTTTATGGTTCAGTCAATTAAATACAGAATACAGTGAATGCATACTAGAGATGACACTGCACATATAAGTTATCTATTTTGGGTGAATTACAGAAGAAGAAGAGGAAACTAACCCTAACCCCCTTACTATAGGACTTTCTGGGACTAACCCTAACCCCTTACTATAGGACCTTCTGAGACTAAGCCTAACTCCCTTACTATAGGACCTTCTGGGACTAACCCTAACCCCTTACTATAGGACCTTCTGAGGCTAAGCCTAACTCCCTTACTATAGGACCTTCTGGGACTAACTCTAACCCCCTTACTATAGGACCTTCTGGGACTAACTCTAACCCCTTTACTATAGGATCGTCTGGGACTAACCCTAACCCCCTTACTGTAGGACCTTCTGGGACTAACCCTAACCCCCTTACTATAGGACCTTCTGGGACTAACCCTAACCCCCTTACTAAAGTACTTTCTGGGACTAACCCTAACCCCCTTACTATAGGACCTTCTGGGACTAACCCTAACCCCCTTACTAAAGGACTTTCTGGGACTAACCCTAACCCCCTTACTATAGGACCTTCTGGGACTAACCCTAACCCCCTTACTATAGGACCTTCTGGGACTAACCCTAACCCCCTTACTAAAGGACTTTCTGGGACTAACCCTAACCCCCTTACTATAGGACTTTCTGGGACTAACCCTAACCCCCCTTACTGTAGGACTTTCTGGGACTAACCCTAACCCCCTTACTATAGGACCTTCTGGGACTAACCCTAACCCCCTTACTATAGGACCTTCTGGGACTAACCCTAACCCCCCTTACTGTAGGACTTTCTGGGACTAACCCTAACCACCTTACTATAGGACTTTCTGGGACTAACCCTAACCCCCTTACTATAGGACCTTCTGGGACTAACCCTAACCCCCTTACTATAGGACCTTCTGGGACTAACCCTAACCCCCTTACTATAGGACCTTCCGGGACTAACCCTAACCCCCTTACTATAGGACATTCCAGGGAACTCGCTAGATATTCCCTACCAAACCTTACAGCTGATGTGATTGGGTGAAAAAACTTAAAAGTACTAAACATTTGCTAGGATTTAAAACAGTTATTATGAAAGCAGTATTTAATTTCAGATGCCTGGCATCTTAAAGTGTTTAAAAAAAAAAATTAGTACCTATCAATATAGCTCACAGCACTCAGAAGTAAGGCAAGAAGGACATATAACCAGATTGCGACTGGTACCTGACTGGTACCATCAGTATTGGAACTCTGTGCTGGTTGCTGAAAATGAGGACAGAGCATGCATGGAAATGCCCCGAGTGCTGGGATGTCAGTTCTTAACTCAGCTCAACTCAGCCCATCAGTATGGGCGCCATTTTAGCTCTGGTGATGTAGAGTGTATTCTGTTTCCTGCCACATCTTCTGGATTGTGTCCAGAGTGTACAGTTGCTGCTGCCATCCTCTCTTTAAGGTGCTAGATGTTTCTTATCTTCTCAGTTCTCTCTTTAAGATGCTAGATGTTTCTTATCTTCTCAGTGCTCTCTTTAAGGTGCTAGATGTTCCTTATCTTCTCAGTGCTCTCTTTAAGGTGCTAGATGTTCCTTATCTTCTCAGTGCTCTCTTTAAGGTGCTAGATGTTCCTTATCTTCTCAGTGCTCTCTTTAAGGTGCTAGATGTTCCTTATCTTCTCAGTGCTCTCTTTAAGGTGCTAGATGTTCCTTATCTTCTCAGTGCTCTCTTTAAGGTGCTAGGTGTTCCTTATCTTCTCAGTGCTTGCTCCCATTAAGGTGCTAGATGTTTCTTATCGTCTCAGTGCTCTCTTTAAGGTGCTAGATGTTCCTTATCTTCTCAGTGCTCTCTTTAAGGTGCTAGATGTTTCTTATCGTCTCAGTGCTCTCTTTAAGGTGCTAGATGTTCCTTATCTTTTCAGTGCTCTCTTTAAGGTGCTAGATGTTCCTTAACTTCTCAGTGCTTGCTCTCATTAAGGTGCTAGATGTTCCTTATCTTTTCAGTGCTCTCTTTAAGGTGCTAGATGTTTCTTATTGTCTCAGTGCTCTCTTTAAGGTGCTAGATGTTTCTTATCGTCTCAGTGCTCTCTTTAAGGTGCTAGATTTTCCTTATCTTCTTAGCATTCTCTTTAAGGTGCTAGATATTTCTTATCTTCTCAGTGCTTGCTCTCTTTAAGGTGCTAGATGTTCCTTAACTTCTCAGTGCTTGCTCTCATTAAGGTGCTAGATGTTCCTTATCTTCTCAGTGCTCTCTTTAAGGTGCTAGATGTTCCTTATCTTCTCAGTGCTTGCTCTCTTTAAGGTGTTAGATGTTCCTTAACTTCTCAGTGCTGTTTTAATCCTCACGACCATACAAAGTTCCACAAAACTTTAAACTTTTCTAAACATTTTTAGACGTGTAAATCTTTTAAATACTTCTTTATAATAATAAGTTTGAAGTCCGGGCAGTCATTCTCAATGACCCTCTGTTATAGCCTTGTGCTTGTTCTGATGTTTGCCATGTAAATAAAATCTCCTTATGTTGATAAAAATGTTTCCTTGTGTTCTCCATTCTCTTCTTTAGGCCCTTGCTTTGATTGAGCTCTTCAATGCACCTGGTGGCCGCTATAAGCAGGATGTATACTTGCTGCCAAAGAAAATGGGTCAGTTTTGCTAACAAAGCAGCTGTTGATGTGTATTTATTCAGGAATGTCTCAGTGTCAGATTGATTAAAAGCAGCATTTGACAGGGTGAATAATACAATGTATAATATATCTTTATCAGCTCTGACTTATCATCATCCTATTGATAGACCAAATGTTTCTCAGTGGCTGATGTAGTCTGTGCTAGACTTATATTTTTATAGACCAAGTGGCCCTCAGTGGCAGATGTAGTCTGTGCTAGACTTATATTTGTATGGACCTAGTGGCCCTCAGTGGCTGATGTAGTCTGTGCTAGACTTATATTTTTATAGACCACGTGGCCCTCAGTGGCAGATGTAGTCTGTGCTAGACTTATATTTTATATAGACCTAGTGGCCCTCAGTGGCAGATGTAGTCTGTGCTAGACTTATATTTGTATAGACCTAGTGGCCCTCAGTGGCTGATGTAGTCTGTGCTAGACTTATACTTTTATAGACCAAGTGGCCCTCAGTGGCAGATGTAGTCTGTGCTAGACTTATACTTTTATAGACCAATTGGCCCTCAGTGGCAGATGTAGTCTGTGCTAGACTTTTATTTGTATAGACCTAGTGGCCCTCAGTGGCAGATGTAGTCTGTGCTAGACTTATATTTTTATAGACCAAGTGGCCCTCAGTGGCAGATGTAGTCTGTGCTAGATTTATATTTTTATAGACCTAGTGGCCCTCAGTGGCCGATGTAGTCTGTGCTAGACTTATATTTGTGTAGACCTAGTGGCCCTCAGTGGCTGATGTAGTCTGTGTTAGACTTAAATTTTTATAGACCAAGTGGTCCTCAGTGGCTGATGTAGTCTGTGCTAGACATATTTTTTTAATTGGCAGATTGACCCTCAGTGGGTGATGTAGTCTAAAAAACACTGGCCACTTTTACTTCGCAAACATGAATAGTCAGACAGTTAGTGAAAACTGGAGAGATGTTTTTTTGTTTGTGAGTGAGAGTGTTTGTGCGTCCATGCACCTGTATGTACACACGTGCATTCAAGTCAGGAAATGTGAACCAGTGTCATTGCACACGGTTTTACGGTTTTACCGTAAGTGCTCTGCCATCAGTACAAACAGCTGAAGAGGAAAATTTTCACCTGTGTCCGTCTGCAAGAAACTCCATAGCTAGAACGACATTCCTCTATTTACCCCAGAGTGTTAAACTCTGGTACCCATTTCCTAGGAGCTGGGTAAACCCCGGGAACAGCCCAGTTTTCAACACTGGCTGAGGGCTGAAGCGAGTCTCAGCTGGATTTTTTTTTTAACTTATTGATTTGTATAATAAACTTGTTTCTATAAGACATATAAATGTTTGTATAAATAAACTAGTTTGTACAATACATTTGTTTGTATAATACATTATTTGTATAGTTACACTTGTTTGTATAGTACATTTGTTTGTATAGTACACCTGTTGTTATAATACAAATGTTTGTATAGTACACTTATTTGTATAATAAACACACTTGTATAGTTCACTTGTTTGTATAGTCCACCTATTTGTATAACAACATGTTTGTATAGTACACTTGTTTGTATAGTTAACTTATTTGTATAACAACATGTTTGTATAATACACTTGTTTCTATAATATAAATGTTTGTATAGTATACTTGTTTGTATAATACACATGCTAGTACAGTACACTTGTTTGTATAGTACACTTGTTTGTATAGTACACTTGTTTGTATGGTACACTTGTTTGTATAGTACACTTATTTGTATAATAAACATGCTTGTACAGTTCACTTGTTTGTATAGTACACTTGTTTGTATAGATCACTTATAACACTTAAACTGTTTGTATAATTCACTTGTTTCTAAAATACAAATGTTTGTTTAGTACACTTGTTTGTATAATGCACATGCTTGTACAGTACACTTGTTTGTATAGTACACTTGTTTGTATAATAAACATGCTTGAACAGTTCACTTGTTTGTATAGTACATTTGTTTGTATAATAAACATGCTTATACAGTTCACTTGTTTGTATAGTACACTTGTTTGTATGGTACACTTATTTGTATAACAACCTGTTTGTATGGTACACCTGTTTGTTTAATAAACATGTTTATATGATACATGTTTGTAAATTATACCTGTTTCCATGATAAACCTGTTTTTATAGCTCTCACTTGTGTAAAATATACCTGTTTGTTTGATACACTGTCTGTATTCTTTCTCAGATGAGTACGTAGCCAGTTTACACCTGTCCACATTTGATGCACACCTGACGGAACTGACCGAGGAGCAGGCCAAATACTTGGGCCTCAACAAAGCAGGCCCTTTCAAGCCCAATTATTACAGGTACTTATCTGTGAAAACTCTTTCATGTTTCCTCCCATTCTTCTTCAGAATTCTCAGCCCTTGCTGAAGATATCAGCCACCTCCATTCATCTCTCTAGTTGGCCCTTTGTTTCCAATTGGTGCCACCAAGTGCTTGTAGGTCTGCCTGGATATTATCTCTCCATTATCTTCTTGGTCTGCCTCAAAGTCTACCACCATTTAACTCCCTTGTGTGCAAAGTGTTTACTTCTCTGTCATCTGAAATTATCTCAATCTGCCCCAGCCATTTCTGCCTGTTAGCATGATCAGAGGTGATCTAAACAGAATATGAATGTGGTTGTTGCTTCTCTCTCTCCCATCTAGTTGACTGTTGTAATTCTTATTCTTCTTCTTGTTCACCAGCTGTAAACCAGCTGGTGGAAAGTTATGGGTATTTGTCCACTTCTAGGTTTTGTTCTGTTCCAGAACCTGAGTGTTGCATATATATATCCATTTTACAGATCTGACTCATTTGTATGCAGACTGTTGGTTCCTTGCCTGTCAGGCAAATAACTAGATGTTTTTGCAGTTTGTGCGGTTGAGAGGTTTAGTATGTTTCGCAAGGTTTTGATTTCCACAGCAAAAGACCCGAATAGTAGTTGACTGGTTTCACCATGGGAGTGAATGAACAGTGATGGGGCACAAATAGATCATCGGGGTGGGAGTAGGTGAACAGTGATGGGGCACAAATAGATCATTGTGGTGGGAGTAGGTGAACAGTGATGGGGCACAAATAGATCATTGTGGTGGGAGTAGGTGAACAGTGATGGGGCACAAATAGATCATTGTGGTGGGAGTAGGTGAACAGTGATGGGGCACAAATAGATCAACGTAGTGGGAGTAGGTGAACAGTGATGGGGCACAAATAGATCAACGTAGTGGGGGTAGGTGAACAGTGATGGGGCACAAATAGATCATCGTGGTGGGAGTAGGTGAACAGTGATGGGGCACAAATAGATCATCGTGGTGGGAGTAGGTGAACAGTGATGGGGCACAAATAGATCATTGTAGTGGGAGTAGGTGAACAGTGATGGGGCACAAATAGATCATTGTGGTGGGAGTAGGTGAACAGTGATGGGGCACAAATAGATCATTGTGGTGGGAGTAGGTGAACAGTGATGGGGCACAAATAGATCATTGTGGTGGGAGTAGGTGAACAGTGATGGGGCACAAATAGATCAACGTAGTGGGAGTAGGTGAACAGTGATGGGGCACAAATAGATCAACGTAGTGGGAGTAGGTGAACAGTGATGGGGCACAAATAGATCATTGTGGTGGGAGTAGGTGAACAGTGATGGGGCACAAATAGATCATTGTGGTGGGAGTAGGTAAACAGTGATGGGGCACAAATAGATCATTGTGGTGGGAGTAGGTAAACAGTGATGGGGCACAAATAGATCATTGTGGTGGGAGTAGGTGAACAGTGATGGGGCACAAATAGATTAACGAAGTGGGAGTAGGTGAACAGTGATGGGGCACAAATAGATTAACGAAGTGGGAGTAGGTGAACAGTGATGGGGCACAAATAGATTAACGAAGTGGGAGTAGGTGAACAGTGATGGGGCACAAATAGATTAACGAAGTGGGAGTAGGTGAACAGTGATGGGGCACAAATAGATCATTGTAGTGGGAGTAGGTGAACAGTGATGGGGGCACAAATAGATCATCGTAGTGGGAGTAGGTGAACAGTGATGGGGCACAAATAGATTAACGAAGTGGGAGTAGGTGAACAGTGATGGGGCACAAATAGATTAACGAAGTGGGAGTAGGTGAACAGTGATGGGGCACAAATAGATTAACGAAGTGGGAGTAGGTGAACAGTGATGGGGCACAAATAGATTAACGAAGTGGGAGTAGGTGAACAGTGATGGGGCACAAATAGATCATTGTAGTGGGAGTAGGTGAACAGTGATGGGGGCACAAATAGATTAACGAAGTGGGAGTAGGTGAACAGTGATGGGGCACAAATAGATTAACGAAGTGGGAGTAGGTGAACAGTGATGGGGCACAAATAGATTAACGAAGTGGGAGTAGGTGAACAGTGATGGGGCACAAATAGATTAACGTAGTGGGAGTAGGTGAACAGTGATGGGGCACAAATAGATTAACGAAGTGGGAGTAGGTGAACAGTGATGGGGCACAAATAGATTAACGAAGTGGGAGTAGGTGAACAGTGATGGGGCACAAATAGATCATCGTGGTGGGAGTAGGTGAACAGTGATGGGGGCACAAATAGATCATTGTAGTGGGAGTAGGTGAACAGTGATGGGGCACAAATAGATCATTGTAGTGGGAGTAGGTGAACAGTGATGGGGCACAAATAGATCATCGTGGTGGGAGTAGGTGAACAGTGATGGGGCACAAATAGATCATTGTAGTGGGAGTAGGTGAACAGTGATGGGGCACAAATAGATCATCGTAGTGGGAGTAGGTGAACAGTGATGGGGCACAAATAGATCATTGTGGTGGGAGTAGGTGAACAGTGATGGGGCACAAATAGATCATTGTGGTGGGAGTAGGTGAACAGTGATGGGGCACAAATAGATCAACGTAGTGGGAGTAGGTGAACAGTGATGGGGCACAAATAGATCAACGTAGTGGGAGTAGGTGAACAGTGATGGGGCACAAATAGATCATTGTAGTGGGAGTAGGTGAACAGTGATGGGGCACAAATAGATCATCGTGGTGGGAGTAGGTGAACAGTGATGGGGCACAAATAGATCATTGTGGTGGGAGTAGGTGAACAGTGATGGGGCACAAATAGATCATTGTGGTGGGAGTAGGTGAACAGTGATGGGGCACAAATAGATCATTATGGTGGGAGTAGGTGAACAGTGATGGGGCACAAATAGATCATTGTGGTGGGAGTAGGTAAACAGTGATGGGGCACAAATAGATCATTGTGGTGGGAGTAGGTGAACAGTGATGGGGCACAAATAGATCATTGTGGTGGGAGTAGGTGAACAGTGATGGGGCACAAATAGATTAACGTAGTGGGAGTAGGTGAACAGTGATGGGGCACAAATAGATCATCGTAGTGGGAGTAGGTGAACAGTGATGGGGCACAAATAGATCATCGTGGTCATCTGGAAGAGAATGGTGCCTCATTGAGTGACCAGGGAACTTGGCCTACACTCAAGGGAAAGGCAAAACGAATGTACAACTTGGAATTGGAACTCTGTTCTTGCTGCTGAAGATGGGAACGGAGCACTTACGGGAATGTCACAAGTGCTATTATATTGGTTCTCAGCACTTCTCAACACATAATCTGAAATTTTTTTTTTTATACGCACATCTGTTGGAGCCAACTTGTTTTGTGGAGACAACTAACAAGAGTGTTGTATAAATAAATATATCATTCTTTTCCTGTGTTTGTGTGGGTGGGTCAGAGGGTGGGTGTGTGAGAGGATAGGTCAGAGGGTTAGTGGGTGAGAGGGTAAGTGTGTGGGTGGGTGAGAGGGTGGGTGTGTGAGAGGGTGGGTGTGTGAGAGGGTGGGTGTGTGTGTGAGAGGATGTGTGAGAGGGTTAGTGTGTGAGAGGGTGGGTGTGTGAGGGGGTGGGTGTGTGAGAGGGTGGGTGTGTGAGAGGATGGGTGAGAGGGTTAGTGTGTGAGAGGGTGGGTGTGTGAGAGGGTGGGTGTGTGAGAGGGTGGGTGGGTGAGAGGGTGGGTGTGTGAGAGAGTGGGTGTGTGTTTGAGAGGGTGGGTGGGTGAGAGGGTGAAAGGGTGTGTGTGTGCATGCATGTGTGTGTTTTTGTGTGGCCTATTTGAAAATCAGAGGGTAATAACTCTGCAATCACCCAAGCATGACATTTGAGGAATCCACCAAGTGTAATTGTGGGAGTGGCTAATTGTATTTAAAAAAAACTTGAAGTGCTAAATTCAACCAATAGGACAGTCAGTCAACTAGGTGGTGATCTAATGACATGTTGTGTTATGGGACTTTGATTTTGGGAGCTGACTTCCATTTAATGTGGCATATAGGCGACTGCTGTTTTTAGTCATTGCAAGTGTTTGCTTCTGACTTCGTGTGTAGACTGAACAGATATAGTTCTGTTGCCCAGCTACAGAGCTAAGGGCATAGCCTGACACTGTGAGCTATGGATTTTGTTTGGAATGATTTTTTTTATGTGCCCCCACATGGCTTATGTGAACTGCAGATTCAGAAAATAGTGAGTGCCCGGTTGCCAGAGAACTAGTGGTGCCTTATGCAGTTTATTGCATTCATAGCTACTGATCTGTTGTAACTGCTTGCTTCCATCAACGATGAACTGCATTTCTGGTCTTGACTGTTTGTGTTAGCACTTGTTACTTCTGTCTAGAGTACAATGGGTAGCACAGCTGTCTTCTTTGTGTACGTTGGTGTCACAGCCAGGCTGGTCTTTAGTTAACTACAGAAGGAGTCAATTGAAGAATGTAGGTGAGGAGAAAGATGGTCATGTCGAAGTGATGATGCTAATGATGTCTTGCTTGCTGCATGCTTCTCACATCACTGATGCTTGAATAATAAAATGTCTGGAAACAACTGTTCTTTTCTATACTGTCTCTTTTGTGATACTTCAGTATTGTCACAAACAACATCAATGGTATTCTGAATGGCCGATGTTTCACTCTGTTGTTACATACTCTTGAGGTCGTGTTTTGTTCTTCATCTCTAGTTTCTTTGTTAACTGGTTCTAGTGTCTGTAACTGCCACCTGGCTTCTAGTGCTGTCTGGTACTAATGGCTTAATCGTCAACTCTAACATCTCAATAGTGTTTCTATCTAATGTGTCTTTGTTGATCATGGATCCATTTATCTTGTCTGTTGTCTCCTCTCTAGTGACTGTCTTCGAGGCTCAATGTGACTGTACCCTCTGCTTCTAAGTCTCGTCACCTGAAGGTTCGCGTTGTGAGGGTCCATATTACTAGTTCTTTTTCTTCTAAGTCTCGTAGACTGAAGAATGAAGATTCTCTTTAAGGGTCAATATTACTAGTCCCTCCTATTTCAAGTCTCGACTGAAGGTTACCAATGGGGTTTCTTACTATTTATACTGAAATGCTGGAATGTGTCATATGTGTTTTTCTACTGACTAAACTGCTGCTAGAAGGTTCTGGTATGGCTCAGCATGTTTACTGTGTAGATTCTCATGTGGGATTTTCTAATGGCATTTGGATTGCATCAGTCTACACCAAAATATGCTTATTAAATTGACAGCTGATTTCTGGGGTCTTCCAGAAAACGAATTCTACTGTGTTCTCTTTGAAAAGGCACATTTAAAAACATTACCTCAGATACTATTTATCATCATCATCATCAGGTGCCTTGCCGACTGGCGTGGGAGATCATGCCTCTCCATAATCTGCGATCTCCTGCAGCATGTATCAGTTCGGGTGCCGACACACCTCCATGCCATGCAACAAGACTGTCAAGCATCTTCTCTCGTTGTCTTCCTCTATCCACAGATCTTTCCAGTGGTCACAACATGTTCTATTTTCCCTCTTCTCATAACATGGCCGAAAAATGATGACTGTCTCCTTCTGATGTCTGTGATAAGTTGTCTTCCGGCTCCCGCCTCTTTCAACACCTCTTGGTTGCTATTTTGTTATCCATGTGCCCAGATACTTAAATTTCTGTACTTGTATTTTGGGGCAGGATTTTCTTGGGATAGTACAGCGGTGGTTCCCCCTTGCCTTCCGCCGGTTTGTATATGGTTTGACTCCAATAGCCTTTGTCTAAAGAGACTTACCCTGCAAGGCAGCAGGGGGGAGTGGTTATGGCGCCTCTTACCCGCCGATGGCCATGTCGTAGTTTTGAGGTATTTTACAGAGTTAGCTGTCCCACCAACTAACTCGCCTCTTCTCAATGACCATCACCTGTTTTGGTCTACGGCCACTTATTCAGTATATTCGTGGCTAACCTCTATATCTAGAGGCCTTTCCACCATCCGCCACCTGGTGGACGCGCCTAGTAGTAGGACAGGCTCCTACCCCAGGATACTATTTATAGATTATTCATTTGCAGATATCTCTCTGTTCGTGATGGTTATAGAAAGGGATTGTTAACACTTGTTGACTTTAGTCCCTTCAACTAATGCGCAATATCCTACCAACTAACAAGCAAGTGATGGCATCTGCCTGGTACAAATGATCATTAAGGAAGAGATCTGATTGGCTGGTTCCATGTGTTGAAATAGGATCGGGGAAGCATGATCTTATTATGTTTTAGCTCATGTTTTAGATAAAATTGCAATATTTTCTTAAATCTCCGGGGTTTGTCATTGATGCTACAGAGTTCATGGTTTTATGTGATGTTCTCGGCAAGTGGCTTTTTGCCATTCTGTGAAAAGAAATCAAGCTATATCAGATCAAACACAGTGCAGTAAAATTGATACTCTCAACTTTAAATCTTTTCAGTTCCATTGAGAAATAAGACGACACACACACAAATGGGTAAATCTTCTTCTGCATTTGCCCTTGAAAACTGAGTTGACATGTTGTGTTGTGGTTTACAGCTGGACTGTGATATGTGCACCTTTCCACCCAACACATCCGATTTCAGCAAACTTCTAATTAGTTGCTGTTTATGGCATGCTTGTTAGAGGACAATGGGAATATGAATAAAGCAACAAGTACACTCACCTACTTACTGACCTCAACGCCAGTCATATTCTCCTACTTTGTTGCCAGGTACTGATGTCGGCAGCCATTAGTTGTGAGGTCCTCCGAGTGACAAGCTGGCACCTGCTGTTAAATCATTCCTTCAGCTTTGATCTTGAACAGCAGAACCTCACAGTTTCAGCATCACCCCCCCCCCCCCCCCTCTCACCTTTTGTTTGCCCCCACCCCAACGATTACTGTATCACATCATTTAGCCATGTGGTGGAATTATAGCATTTAGGAAATACTTCATTTTGTTTCATATGTTTTATCAAATCACTATTTTAATCATCCAAGGTTGTTTTTTTCTTGAGTACTTTTTAATGTTCTAGAATCAATGACTTATTTCTCGTCACATATTTTTTTTTTTTTTGGGTTGATTTTAACATCAGTGAACTGGAACAGCTGGGCTATGTTTATTTTGAAATCCCATCATGTTTTCATTTTGTGAGTGTGTGATTGCATTCTTGTATGTTTGATTGTTTTACATAGTATACAGCATGCATAATAAGACGTTAAAGCAATATTATTTGATACGCTTAGTAAACTTGAACCAGTTCACCAGCGTGCATGTTGCTGTAAAATATTGTGTTTAAAGATTAAAGATGAGAGAATCAACCTCATTGCACTGAGTTTTATTGCATTTAGTTTGGGCTTAGTTAGTTAGTTAGTTATTTAGTTAGTTAGTTAGTTAGTTAGTTAGTTAGTTAGTTAGTTAGTTAGTTAGTTAGTTAGTTAGTTAGTTAGTTAGTTAGTTAGTTAGTTAGTTAGTTAGTTAGTTACTTAGTTAGTTACTTAGTTACTTAGTTAGTTAGTTAGTTACTTACTTAGTTAGTTAGTTAGTGAGTCAGTCAGTCAGTCAGTCCAGTCAGTCAGTCAGTCAGTCAGTTAGTTAGTTAGTCAGTCAGTCAGTCAGTCAGTCAGTCAGTCAGTCAGTCAGTCAGTTAGTCAGTCAGTCAATTACTTAGTTGGGTTGTCATCATTGCACTCTGGACTTGTCCATAGGTGCTCAGTTCATCTTGGCTAATAGTACCAGTTCTGTGTTGATTAATAAGTCCTCTGATGTGCCTGGTGTGCTTCTTGTTTTTTTTGCTATGACGATCTTTACTGCCAAGTCTATCAGTCTAGCGAATGATGTGGATTCACTGCCCCCAAAGTCCTCCACCCTTCCAATTTCTATGGAGACATTATATCAGCATGATCCATAGGTTGACTGTGGGTAGTGATAGCGGATCTAGCTAACCCATCAGCTCTTTCATTTCCATCGATGCCTGCATGTCCCGGTATGAAAAAAAAGCTGACTGCATGTGTAGGGAATAGACTTCTGTAACAACTCAAACCGTTGCCTCTGCACTGAACCTGCCCGAACCCTCTGGATCATACTCATTGCTCAGTTTATCTCTTTAGAATGGCTAGCTGCCTGCTGAGAGCTTTCCACCAAGCACAAACTCTGTAGCTCTGGTGATAATCCTCTGGGATCTCCATAAAAATTGCACTCGTGACCTAATGAAGTAACCATGAATCAAAACCTCAGACCTTCAGAGCATGAGACAAACTTCTTGCCCACTTGGCCACTCAAACCCCCTTTCCCTTATAAAATGGCTTATAAACTACTTTAATCAAAGAATCTTCACTCTGTAGGGATTAGGCAGCGTTCTGTAGAAGTAGGCAACATTCTGTCGGGGTAGGCAGCATTCTGTTGGGTTAGGCAACATTCTGTTGGGGTAGGCAACATTCTGTCAGTGTAGGCAGCATTCTGTTGGGTTAGGCAACATTCTGTCGGGGTAGGCAACATTCTGTCGAGGTAGGCAGCATTCTCTCAGGGTAGCAACATTCTGTCAGGCTAGGCAGCATTCTGCAGGGTTAGGCAACATTCTGTCGAGGTAGGCAGCATTCTGTCAGGGTAGGCAGCATTCTTTCGAGGTAGGCAGCATTCTGTCAGGATAGGCAGCATTCTGTAGGGTTAGGCAGCATTCTGTCAGGGTAGGCAACATTCTGTTGGGGTAAGCAGCATTCAGAAGTCCTAGTTAACTTGGCTAATCCTTCTGACCTACAAACCTGAACATGCCATAGTAAAGAGTCATGATTCAGACGATCAGCTGGCATGTGTGCACTGATACAAGCATTAAATCGTTTTGGAAAACTGTAAAGTATATGTTAGCTTTACAGGACCAGTACAGTCAAACAAAGGATGTTTCTCCGATTAGCTTTCATCAGCAGAATAGCTACAGGAAACAAGGTAGGTAGGTAAGTTGTACCCCACTAGGACATCACACAAGTGATAAACCCCTGGTGACACAAAGTGCTGCCATGCAGATAAGAGGTACCAGAAATCCTGTTCAGCAGTTAGGCCATATTTAAGGCCCGGCTATGTTTATGGTCCCTGGTAAAAGCCAGTGTAAGGCCTCAAAATAACTAAAAATTGCATCCCACATGGGGACGGTACTTTCACAATAACAGGAAACAAAACACACAGAAGTAAACTGACTCACTGACTGGCTGACTTTCTACCCCACCAGGACATCACACAAGCGATAAACACCCGATGACACAAAGTGCCACCATGCGGATGAGGATCGCCGTGGAGAGGTCCCAGAAACCGCATTCAGACATTTGGCCATATGTATGGCCTGCCTATATTGCGGCCCCTGGCAAAAGCCAGTGTAGGGCTTCAAATGACAAAAAATTTCGTCCTGAAAAGGACGGAAGTGGTTTAACTATAAGTAAACTGACTCTGAAGTGACAGAATTATGGTATTAAATCTAAACTTTAAATCACAAACTCTCTGTATTTCATGTGTTCATTATAAATGAAGTATTAATTCCTCCCAAACCGTGACGAGTACACAGGTTAAATTTTCATTTTCCATTATAACTACGATGTTTAACAGTCACATTGACGGTTCAGGTTATTCTGCATTTTTTTATTCATTGTGACAAACACGAAAAGTAGACATTTGCTGGAGTTATATCCCTTTCTTTTTTTTTTTAACTACAATTAATTTTTTCACTGTTATCTTCCTTGAAACCATAGTCTATGTGTACATGAGACAATACATCTGAAGTCACCACATGAAAAGAGAGGGTCAATCACAGAGATGGATAGGGGACGGTAATATTTGCATTAATGAGCCTCAGAAACTCAGAAGGCCGAAAAAGAAGATGTGTATAAAATGTGTTTGGCATTATTATATGAGTCTTTTCACCTGGGTTCAGATTTTACTAACTTTAACATATTTCAGTCATATGTGTTGAGCTAGGACAAAACATTTCCATATAACAATGATTCCCAAACTGTTGTCCGCGGCACCCCAGAAAGCTGCGACTTCTTCACAGGGAGACCGCGAAAAATTCGAGGATACATCATTTATTTCTTTTTAAATATCTTTTACATACTAATAGTCATACTCTTACTTATGCTATGCCGCCGTGGACAAACTTTAATTGAAAAAAGGTGCCGCGACTCAGAAAAGTTTGGAAAACACTTGTATATAGGACAGAAGCAACTGGCAAGGTACTGTGACCTTATGACACTGGAGTTAATTGTTGTAGTTAATATAAACATATCATTGTATTGACATACTTGTGCTTATCTAAACTGACAAATATTGTAACTTTCCTTGACGTAGTCTGTAATCCTTATTTTGTATATTTTGTTTAGGTTTTTTCCTCTCCCATGTCTGTATTCCTTTGTGTGTCTTTTGTTCGCATATCTGCATTTTTTTATAGTGTTTATTGTCTATATATATATATATTTTCTTTTTGTTAGCCTTCTGCTTTCTTGTCCATTTTTTTTTTTTTTCTGAGTGTCTCTTGCCCCCGCGACTGTTGACCATGTTGTATCTCATTCATACACACCCTTCCCCTTTTATTGTGTTGTTTGCAGCAATAATTTTCATGATTTCCGTTGATTCTATTTCATAGCAACATTGAGTAAATGTTGGTACAGTATATTGTTGTATACAGTTGTAAGTATGAAAGTTGTGATTCACAATTGGCACAATGTTCTCTTTGTATGATACCTTGAACTAAGTGAGTGCTGCATTTTAAGTATTTTTGTTTTGGGCTACATTTGTTAAGTTATACTGCTGTAATTTACTGATTAATGTGAGTGTGGAAGTACCAGTAGCACTAGTGATTTTGAGAAGGGGTTAACAGATGCATTCAGAGCTGTGCCCAAAAATGAGGCTGTAAAATTACAGTGAATGAGGAGGTGAGGAAAAGATGCCGACTGTGGTTACACTATTCAGAAAGCAGGATAATAATATAATTAGATGGATGTGGGAAGAAAATGAAACAGACACATCTGTCCATATACAGCCACACTAGATGCACCTAGGCATCTATGTGGGAAATGCCATATGAAACTATAGTGGACGCGGAAGTCCACTGCAGTAAAAGTCTAAAATGCAAAAGAAGCAGGGCAGTCATTTTGTTTAGGTAAAATTCCAGGTCTGCAAGCCACCTACTTTGGTTTCTAAAGACATATTCCTTGATGAATGAGATGTCCAATATATGGAAATATGGTTAAACAGTAATGAGCAGGACATGACAATTCCTTGGGTGAGCCGAGTACCACAGCCCCGTGTATTGGTGTTGCGAAGTGATATGAAGGGTGTATCACCTCCTAACTAAGTGTCTACAAGGTAACTGATTCTGCCTCTCTCATATATGCAAAAATTGCCCAAGCTGACTTTCTGGCAACTACTTGGGTTCCCTACCTGAGAATGCTAAATTAACACAGTTCACATAGTCACATCGTACCACTAACACCAATAACAGTCAACAGCCAACCACATCAACAATACTGGAAGAATGATCTCTATAATCGTGCATCAGTCTATTTATTGGGACGAAACACAGTATGATGATGACAATGAACTGGTAATCCAGGATAACTGTCCATCTAATGCCTCACCTATACACACTGATATGCTTCCAAGGCGGTGTCACAGGGAACATATAGCCTCGACTTGACGTGAGTCCTCAACATACACCTGCAGCCTACTGGCCCACTTTTGTGGTCACCAGTAGCCTT